GTGCTAAAGCTTCCCTGGCCCACCCCACCCCACCCACCCGACACACACATCACATCACGAGTAATTTCAATGATCGGATGAATGGACAAACAACTATGTGATCATGGTGAACCCGATTTCCGGTCTCACGATGAGATTGTTTCTAGTAATCTGTGATTTTATTTTACCAAGATAATTTTATTCCCAAGCAGTGATATATATATATATATATTGAGATGTATTGGCATGAATAAGAATCTCTGAAAACGAGCTGGTTCGCCACTCTGTTGTTCTGATTGAAATGTGCTCTGTGGGACTATTTCGACAAAATATTGAACAGGCAGTTGAAAACCATTGTCAGTTTGGGAGAGGCACAAGTAAGTATTCTGTGTTTGCCCCATTGTTTTTGTGCACTTCGGAGGACTTAGGAAATCAAACTTTGTCCCCTGTTTACTGTTTCTGCATTAACCAGAATGCGATTTTAATCGGCTTAACTCGATGACCTCGGATACTATACACAGTGAGTAGAATCAATCTGTAAATAACTTCAACGAAGGGGGAAGCGATGCTAGTTGTATTGGATTAAGCATCATGAGTGTCCAGAAAAACTCGAACCTTTACAACTAGGCATCTGCTTGCGTGGTCGGTATTTTCCGCTTCGTATGAACAAGTACAAAAGAGTATACAGTTTGATGTAGCAAACGTAGGGAGCTCGCCTTGAGTTGGAACAGGTAGAGACTGTCTACGCTTAAACCCGAAACGTAATTTCACTGCGCGAAGCCTATTCTTTACCCCCCCCCCACCAATTGTATCAATTTTCCAGTGACCGATTTCGTCACATTGTTGGAACTTTGGAAAAGAAAGAAATGCACACCGAATACTTTGCCGTTTGCCGAATTTAGTGAGCCATTTGTTAATGGTGTTTCCAAAACACTTTCAATAACCATTTTCAGAGGGTCAAGTCTCGATAAAACGTTGTTCTTCCTCGGCAGTAGCAATATCAATCAATACTTCATTATATTTTTCATCTGTTACTTAATAACATGCCATCCGATTGGCTGCGCTAAGTCTCTTCACTCTCGGAATTTCGGTACTTTGTCGAGCGGTGGTGGTGGCCGAGTGGTTATGTCACCAACTTGTGACCTGAGAGTCCCGAGTTCGACCCGCTCTACCGCCGCCCGTCTTCCCAGACAGCCTTTGTATGGCCGCGGCCCTCCTTCCTAAATGTTGACTGTACATTTGTATATCCAATAAACAGAAAAAGCAAATAAAAATACATTTATTTATTCATCACTTTCAAGCGTGATTTACTCAATACTTGACCTTTTATGTCCACTTTGTCTCGTTTTCGAATTCCTGCTCAGACGAAAACAACACAAGCGCAGTGAGTCACAATCCGCACTTAGTCGCACACTCCCGTCGAAAATAACTGTGCTCTCACTGGTCAGCACGAAGATCCGGTCGCTCTTCACAAATTTGACGGAACTATTGTGCATCCTCGATTCACGCATCTACTCGCCTCGATCAAAATCTTAAGGACTCAATGGGTGGAATCAGGGATTTTAAATGCTTCCGTAAGGACAGAAAGCACCGTAAGAGGAAAACATGAGGTGGAGTGATCACCTGCATTAATCGCTTTTGGAGTGACCAGTCTGAAGTTCTTGATTGTTACGCCAATGGCATCGAATTTCTAACTATTCAATGTTTTCCCAGATTTTCGTCACATAGAAGCACAATCTGACCAATTCACAAATGGCTCCTTTTACACTCAGTCTCACAGTTCATCCTTGTCTGATGCATTTATACCATCTTTCGTTTACCTGTTAGATAACAGCCTCTACATTATTGTCCGTGATTTTAATCACACATTCTATTTGGTTTGGGCCTAACAAGAGATGATTCATTTTTAGACAAGGCAACCAATAATCACCCGAAAGATTTTACTTCAAAACTCACAACATTTGTTTCAATTAGTGAGAACGCCTCGTTTTTCTCAAAACCCGTCCCGTCCCAATCACAGTACACGTATCAACCTGTCAAATCATTGTTCAACTTCACAATCTTTTCCCCCAGAAACACCCCTCTTCCAAAGCGTTCAACTAGTGCTCTTTCTTCGTGAGTTTTCCTGATGTACTTGAGCTTACTCACTATCGTTTGCAATTTTCTGACAGCTTAGACAACGTTCGATATTGTTCTACTATTTCCGGTCTCTCTCTCTGTGTTAGTCCTTCTAAATATTTCTTTACATTATCACTTTCTTTCGTCCGACCTGATCCAGTGTCGATCGGCTGTAAAGTGTGACGGGAAAATATGACAGGGTTTAAACATATTTCTCAACATACAGTTCAACAGAGCGGTTCTATCAAAGATAGCGCGAATATGTGAGAACATACCAATGATTGATTTATGCCAAACATGACATTATTGGATCGTCTGTCACCAAATGAGGCTGTGACCGACGGATTTGCAGCCGATGCGAAACAGTGAGTGATCCTCGCGGATCTGCTCGTCATGTGCTTTGTACAAACTGCGGAGAATTACGAACACCAACAGTTTTTAACCGAATCAGTCTCACAGCTCTGTGTTTGGCGCAAACATTGTGAATGCCCTTCTTGAAGATGGGGATAGCAATCGATCCCTTAGTAAAAAAATCAGCCCAGCGTTCAGAATCATACAGAACAGTACTGTGGAAAGCTTGAATCCATTGAAAGTCCAATCAATATAGGGGAAAAATATCGGGGTCGGGCGGTTTACGGAAGAGCTTGTATCTTCTTACATATTTCCAGCTAAGACTACTTCCAATCCTCCGATCTTTCTCCTACTGTTTATCCAAATGGGCAGCTAAAAGACAGCAACCCAAACCGGCGCACGAAAGTGCTTGGTTAATGGTTGTACAAACTGAAACTGAAAGCTAAGACGGTGGATTTATCGAGACCAATCAACAGTCTTGTGCCGAAAAAGCTGTGGGTGAAGCTGACGCTGAGGAGCAGATAAACTGTGCCTTAAATTCGTTCATCTAGCGTGCAAAACTCTGTTGTTGATTTGGAATAGACGTGCTGCCAGGTTCACATATCGGTTCACTTACACCTAGTATATTTCAGTCAGTGACCTAAATGAACTGGAATAGCTTATTTTTTTCATGACGGTGGCATATTCCATCTACGAAGTATACTGGCGATCTTTGTTTAGGCTTAAGCTTATTTCGTGCTCCATTGAAAGTGATGTTTGATCAACCTGCCGGAAACGACCGTCACGAAGACATAGAGACTCAGAGCAACTTCTGAGTGTCCAGCACAGAAGTGTCCGAACTCAACTGACTAGGCCAGTGAAGTGCAAAGCATTTTGATAAGTGATCTATGCTGATTGATTATCAGGCGGGGTTTATAATCTTCTCACCAAGCGCATATCGACAGTCGGTTAGATCAGCTGATTAGGGCAGTTCATATCAGTTTTACGTTCTCCGTATCGTGCGTGCATTTGAAATTAAATGGCACAAACACACGGACAAACCTGCGCAAACTGATGCATGCTCGGAGTTGGACCACGGCCTGCGCAGTTTTGGACAAACCTGCATCCGCCATTTGTAGAGATGGGCTCAATATGGTTTTATAGGTGAGACTAGGGTGGATGCCAAGTGAGCTACGATAGGTTATTTGAACGTCTGTAGTTTTACACCGACGAGGAACAGGCAAAAGTTAGAAAATACAGCCTGGAATTGGCGTTTCAGTTGGTAAAAAGCGATGGAGGAGTAATCGATCTAAATAAATGGGCCCCCACTTCGCCTCACCTCGCCTTGCGGTTAGATTCTTGCTAGAATTAAAGGCTTTGGATGAGAACCCTAATCGTCCTCCTGCTTAGTGGCTGGACACCCTAGCAGTACCTGTCCACCAAACCTCAATGCATACAAAAAATAAAAATAATTCCATACTGCATCCGTCGTCTCGCAGGATAATCAGGACCGCGATGCCCATTGCATAGAGCGGGGTGGGTAGTGATAAGT